GCCCTAATTTAAGAAGAATTGTAGGTGATCGCCCTTTTATGGTTGCTAGGAGAGCACCAAATCTTGGTGATTTACTTATCCACTCAGACTACCAACCTGTACAACAATCTACGTGGCTTACTTCACGCACTAAAGGGATGTTTAGCTGTGAAAAATGTCAGATCTGCAAATTTGTAGATCGGACAGATAGATTTTCTGATTCTGATAATAAGGCCCATTATAATATCCAAAGCCTTATAAATTGCTCTACATCTAGAGTATTGTATAAGTTGACTTGTCCATGTAAAAAAATGTACATTAGTAAAACCAAAAGGAAACTTAAAGTGCGTATAGGCGAACACTTTAGGGATATAAAATCCAATGAACCTGAGAGCAATTTAGCTCAACATTATTCAAAGTACCATGGCGGTAAATTAGAGGGCACTAAAGTAAAAGGAATCTATGCACTTAATTTCCTGCAGAGAAGGGGTGATTTTGATAAAGAGCTTTTAAAACATGAAAAACATTGAATATATAAGCTTGACACCAGATTCCCTAAGGGGTTAAATGTTGAGCTTGACCTCCAAGTGTTTTTTCCTAAATAGGGTAGTATTAGAAATTATATTCCTTATATTGCCCCTTTCTACTTTTTGTGACTAAGAGTATCTTTGAATGTTTTTTACTCTAGTGACACTGCTAAAGTATTGGATTACTATTCTCTCTATTGAGAAAATAGGCGCGTGTGTTTTTTGCCTATATAGGGTAGTATGAAAAACTATATGGACTATATTGCCACTTTTTACCTCCTGTGAATAAAATTATTTTTGAATGGTTTTACTCCAGTGATACAGTTAAAGCATTGAATTACTATTGTCTCCACTGACTATATAGCCTGGTATTCATATGTCTTTCTATGATGACCGCTTCTTTTTTTCTCCCCTTCCAATGAGATGCGTTACCTCTAGCACATTTACATATATGGGCAGGAATTAGCCCAATATAAATGAATACTGTTAGCTATGCGTCTTATTGGTCCTGACGAAGCTGAGTAAGGTACGCCCATTGGCATTGACGCCACACGTCAGTGACGTCACTACCGGTCAGACGCATTGGCGCCATACAGGCGCCTGCAGGGGACGCGGATACATACGCCTGTGCTGGGCGTCCATCAGGCTGCACATGTATCGGGATGGTAGCGGAGCCCGTCTATCCATAGTCCCAATGCTGGCAGCTGACTCCGGGACTTCGGGCGTGACTTCATCTATGAGAGAGACCATGCACTGTCATTTTTCCTTAGCACGGGTGGTGAGTGGAATACTGAAAACATAAGGAAGGAAATACGTCTGATTGCCGTTACTGTCTTGATATTCTTAGTGACAACCATATTGACTCTCTTTATGTCACCTATGTACTACAGGATGTGGACATCATGTTACATTTCTTAAAGGTGCACAGCACCCTAATTCTACTATACAGCATGGACACCCCTACATTCTGTACTACATAATAAGGGAGTTTATTTAGTCCACATGCTGGCGGTGAAGAATCCCTATATTTCATTGGCAGGGCCCTGCCACTTCAACTACAGATGGGGGATGTCATATGGAGATATTTACCACAGTCATTAAGTTTATTTCCTAATATAATTATGGACATGATTGTCTCTATATAACACCCATCGTGCCTACTAATGCTCTTTTTTTGAATCATCAATAATTTTTTTCTGAGTGTTATATAGCACAGACTTAGGACATTAAGCCTGCATTATTAGTTTTAATTTTCACTGCATATGTCTCTCATTGGTCATTGCCCTAATTGGATTTTTATGTATAACATCGGGTTCCTGTATCCAATCTTTAACTGGTACCAATGTATATCTTATTGCATGTCTGACATATAGCCTCTTATGGTACAATTTTTTTAATACATCCCCTACATGGTGGTGTTACCTATGTGTCAGTGCTGCTCATGTACTAGACCAAGTGTCATTACATTTACAGCACTATATATTCACGACCGGTCATGACGTCTGTTTTTAATTATATTTTGGTTTTAGGTCATACTTTTCGTATGATCTCATTTTGTGGTGATGGATAACTGAGGTATTCATCTAATTTTGTCTATACAGTTGCAAGAAAAAAGTATGTGAACCCCTTGGGATTACGTGGAGTTTTGCATGAATTGGGCATAAAATGTGCTCTGAACGTCATCTAAGTCACAACAATAGAAGAACACTGTCTGCTGAACATAATACTACACAAACATTAGATGTTGCCATGGTTTAATTGCACATAACATGTAAACATTCACAGTGCAGGGAGGAAAAAGTATGTGAACCTTTGGACTTAATAACTGGTTGACCCTCCTTTGGCAGCAATAACCTCAACCAAACGTTTCCTGTAGTTGCAGATCAGACCTGCACAACGATCTGGAGTAATTTTGGACCACTCCTCTTCACAAAACTGTTTCAGTGTAGCAATATTCTTGGGATGTCTGGTGTGAATCGCTCTCTTAAGGTCATGCCACAGCATTTCAATCGGGTTGAGGTCAGGAGTCTGACTGGGCCACTCCAGAAGGCGTATTCTGTGCTTTTACAGCAATTGGTTTGTTGAATTACTTGTATGCTTTGGGTCATTGTCCTGTTGCATCACCCATCCTCTGCAGAGCTTCAGTTGGCGGACAGATGGTCGTACGTTTTCCTGCAAAATGTCTTGATAAACTCTGGAATTCATTTTCCCATCAATGACAACAATCCATCCAGGCCCTGAGGCAGCAAAGCAGCCCCAAAACCATGATGCTCCCTCCGCCATGTTTTACAGTGGGGATGAGGTTTTGATGTTGGTGTGCTGTGCCTTTTTTTCTCCACACATAGTGTTGTGTGTTCTTTCCAAACAACTCAATCTTGGTTTCATCTGTCCACAGTATATTTTGCCAGTAGTGCTGTGGAACATCCAGGTGCTCTTTTGCATACTTCAAACGTACTGCAATATTCTTTTTGGACAGCAATGGCTTCCTCCGTGGTGTCCTCCCATGTACTCCATTCTTGTTTAATGTTTTCCTTATTGTAGATGTGTCAACAAAAATGTTAGTATGTGCCAGAGATTTCTGTAGGTCTTTAGCTGACACTCTGGGATTCTTCTTTACCTCATGCAGCATTCTGCGCTGTGCTCTTGCAGTCATTTTTACAGGACGACCACGCCTAGGGAGAGTAGCAACAGTGCTAAACTTTCTCCATTTTGTAGACAGTCTGTCTTACCGTGGACACATGAACATCAAGGCTTTTGGAGATACTTTTGTAACCCTTTCCAGCTTCATGCAAGTCAGCAATTCTTGATCGTAGGTCTTCTGATAGCTCTTTTCTGCGAGGCATGGTTCACATCAGACAGTGCTTCTTGAAACCAGTAAACCCAAAACAGGTGTGTGTTTTTTTAAGGGCAGGACAGCTGTCAGCAAACACATCCAATATCATCACACTGATTGGAGTCAAAGTTGGCTCACTCCTGGCTCCAATTATCTCTGGGAGAAGTCATTAAGCTAGGGCTTCACATACTTTTTCCTCCCTGCACTGTGAATGTTTACATGTTATGTGCAATTAAACCATGGCAACATCTAATATTTGTGTAGTATTATGTTCAGCAGACTGTGTTCTTCTATTGTTGTGACTTAGATGCCGTTCAGAGCACATTTTATGCCCAATTCATGCAAAACTCCACGTAATCCCAAGGGGTTCACATACTTTTTCTTGCAACTGTATATGCATTCTTTGTAATAAAGCATAATTTTTGAGTAATTTTTGGGTATCGCTTTCTGTTCATGATGTAACCACTTTTCTTGTGAATCTCTTTTCACATCCCCCCTTCTTTTGATGTCTGATTTTTGGTTACTAGGCAGATAATATACGTTCAGTGATACGTTTAAACTTATGGTGCCTCTTGTTTTTTTGTTACTGGTTTTGATGGTTGCCCTGTAGTACTGGGGTTTTTGTTTGGGTCTGCAAGAAGTTTACATGTTCTTGGTCAGGTTTTCTCCCACACTTCAAAGACTTGCTGGTAGAAAATCACACCTGGCGTGACAAACACCCATAGGGCAGCCCATTCAACTGAATGGACTGCCTTATGTGGCAACAGGTGAAAAATGCATGCAAAAGAATTTTGAAGAGAAACAAGCATTCCTGCTACACGAAATGTCAATGGGGCCTAATTGCCCACTCTTTAAAACTGAAAATACTATGATATTATAATGAACATACCCAAGATGGTTGTCTCACCATCTGCCCCAGCAGCAGATAAAACACTTTAAGTTCACAGGAAGAAAGGTCCTATAGAATTATAAATTTACATAAAAATTGTTTTAATAATCTTCTGAAATTTTTTCAACCACATCAACACTGCAGCGTTGATCCAGGATCCCTCGATCACTTCCCTTGTCCTGCGCTCCAGCGATGTTCCCCCTGCAGCATCCCGGGCAATGTCCTCCGGTCGATGCCGGCATCTGTCTTCTGGGTTCCATTCCCTGCGACGTCAAGACGTACGGGGACAGAACTGGCGGCAAATTTAAAAATGTGAAAAAGTGACATTCACTAAATACACTAAAATCACATAGTAAAACATTACTATATCAAACCATTTCACATACATTTTGTCCCTAGTGCTTTGTCCTGTGCCCTGCCTGCATTTTTACTGTACTTTCTGCCTGGAAACTGAGAAATGTCCATGGCGTCCAAAAAGCATCCCTTTAGGTCAGGCATGTCCAAAGTCCGGCCCGCGGGCCATTTACGGCCCGAGGGTCGGTTTAATACGGCCCTCCATGTCAGTGTGTCAGTGTGTCTTATGGAGCGAATATGGAGCGGCCGGTCCGGTATTTCCACCGCGGTTGTGTCAGAATACCGGGCCGGCCGCTCAGCTCTGCAGCGGGACCTTACCTGTTCCTCTATCCAGCGGTGCGCTGTCTTCCCGGCTTCTGTAGTGTGGGCGCTGGGCATGACAGCCGGGTGCCAAGTGCGCATGCGCAAGAAGCGGTGCTTTTTGTGAATGGTAAGGCGGTACCTGGGACACATGACAGATCCCAGAAGCCGCCGGACCAATCACAAAGCGCAAGTGCTTCTCGCTCATGCGCACTGGGCACCCGGCTGTCATGCCGAGCGCCATTACAGAAGCCGGGAAGACAGCGCGCGGCTGGATCGAGGAACAGGTAAGATCAAAGAACAACTGCGGAAGTAAGAGCGGGTACCTGTCAAATTCAGGTACCCGCTCCCCACCTATACTAAGATAGTTATTAAAGAGGTTATTAAATATATTAACGTGTCACCCAATGTATGGTCTCCATTCAGTAGCCAAAAGAGGCATACAAAAAAGGAGGGTTGTGAAAAGAGATTCACAGAAAAGCGGCTACATAATGAACAGAACGTGACACTAAGGGAATAATTTCCAAAAATGCTTTATTACACACAAAGAAATATGACATATGGGCATTCGCCCTGGTTTACCATCACCTCAGTATGAGACAATACACACAGACCTAAAACCATTTAAAATGACACAAAAACCGGTCTAAATGTATGTGTAGCAGGGAAAATGGCTACATGAGTCTAGTGTCCCTGCAGCACAAACACATAGGTGAACACTTCCCTAGGGAGGTGTATCCAAAAATTATGCCATGGGCATACCATAATAGAGGATATGAGGGATTAAACAGTAACCATAATGGCAAATCCCTATCAAGAAATCCAAAAATTATGCTGTAGATATATATATCACATGTATGCAATGAAGCAAGCACAATATGCGTCAAAAAGGAGAGTAGCAGGCCTCAGGCCTGTATGAAGGAAGACATAAATGTCAAATATATGGTACAATACATTCCTGTGCCGGCACAAGTGGTTGGGGCCCATTCATCTGTAATATAGATAGCTGTTTCCTAGAGCTCTTAGATGGGAATATGCCCCATTTATTTCCAGGATGGAAGAAAAGATGCACGCAGCAGCACTCTGCTTGAAATGGTTTCTTCACCACTACATGTGGACTATACACCACTTTTTGTAGGAAAAAACAAGACACATCCCAAAGACTCTTCTGCCTGTTGAAATATATATAGTGGTATATCTTGTTTCCTATACAAAGCACCATGATGTCCCCATCCTGTAGTGAAACAAACAATATGTGGGAAGTCACTGACAGAGCTCACACTCTATAAAAGATATATAGGTCATATAGATCACAGAGGACCATATATCTAATGTCCTGTAACGATCCACTCACCACCTGTGCTATGGATAACGGGAATGAAAAAGAAATCCTTCATAGGTACTGCCATACAGGGCCAAGGCGGCCAAGGAACCACCGCTGACATCCGCCGATATACCGCGGGTTCCAGCCCCTTCTCGGCGCTTGTGCTGCTTAGGCTTGCCTCATGGCTTGTGAAGATGGCTTCCTCCTTATGGGTCAGCGTGCGTTCCACCTAGTGCGCATGACCGGAAGTGACGTATCTGACGTATGACGTCAACGCGTTTCGCCGATGGGCGTATCTCACTCAGCTTCGTCAGGACCAATGAAACAACCGCATTTCAATTTCCTATTTATAGTGGGTAAAGACCCACCCATTTATGCAAAAAGCCAACCTGCAGTTATTCCTAATGGAAGAAAGAAAGGGCTAAATACTTAGCACAGCTGCTGGTCATTATTGAATATAATTAAAAAACAGATATCCGGAGACAACAGAGAGGGGAGAGACTTTAGCAATTTTGACGATACATATATTGATCAAAAAATCATGAATTAAATATATTCGTCAACTAAAGCACCCGTCACATTCTAACCAGAAGGTGGCGATATTAATCAGAGAATCTACAAGTCTATCCACTGAGTCAAATTATCAAAGAAACCCCTCTGAATTACCATAATATACCACAAGATGGCAATATAACCTGAAAATTCTCATTAAGGGTCACTTCAACAGAAATACCCCAATTTTTAAATATCCATCCTATGGTATGATTATTATTAAAGAAAAAAAGGGTACAAAGGAAGAAATTAGCTCAAAATACCGTCCTGATACATTTGGTTTGGAGCTATATTTAAACTCAAAACTTGAGATCATCCATATTATTTTAGTTGTTTCCATATACATACATACTTTTTAAGGATTTAAGTGACATATTAGTGAAAACAAAAAATCCCACAAATTAACCACCACATGGCAATAATAAAGTACATGGCTATAGCTATTTTTCCAAAAATACTTGGAGATCACATTCCACATTTAACCCCTTAGGGTGCAATGTATCAAGTTTATATATCCAATATTTTTCTTTTTTAAGCAGTTCTCTGTCAAAATCACCTCTCCTCTGTGGAAAGTGCAGTGCATAGAAACCTTTCACTTTCGTACCATCCAATTTGCCTCCATGATATTTAACGTAATGTTGGGCAAGATTACTATCAGGTTCATTAGATCTAATATCTCTAAGATGTTCACCTATTCGTACTTTAAGTTGTCTTTTGGTCTTACCTACATACATCTTTTTACAGGGCAGGTTAAGATGTATAATACTCTTACTGTAGAGCAATTTATGAGACTCTGAATTTTATAATGAGTATTATTTCCTGAATCATGAAAGGAATCCGTACGATCCACGTATTTGCAAATTTGACATTTTCCACATTTAAACATCCCTTTAGTGCGTGATTTTAACCATGTTGTTTGTTTTAATGGTTGATAATCTGAATGAATGAGAAGATCACCAAGATTTGGTGCTCTTCTCGCTACCATCTGGGGGCGTTCGCCTACAATCTTACTCAATCTGGGGCATTGAGTCAAAATCTTCCAATGTTTTTCTAATATCAATTTTACATCTTGCCATTGGGCTCCAAATTGGGTTATCATTCTAACAGGTTGATCACTCAACTTGGCCTTCACATCCTTTTTAGAGGATAATAAGTCCTCGCGGTCAGTTTGATATCCCGCTCCCCACCTCCCCAAAGGTCAGCAGTCATCTGTACTGTCCACAGTCTCTGGTCATCCCTGTGCTGTCCGCAGTCTCTGGTCATCCCTGTGCTGTCCGCAGTCTCTGGTCATCTCCTGTACTGTGTCTGCAGTCCATTAGTTCAGAATTTTTTTTCCTGTTTTCTGCCTCTAAAACCTAGGTGCGTCTTATGGTCAGGTGCGTCTTATACGGCGAAAAATACGGTAACTTGGCATAAAATAATTTATTTGCATTTAATTGTAATGGTTCAAAGAATGTTTGGAAAAATGTTCGGCCCTCCACCATGTTCACTTCATCCAATCTGGCCCTCTTTGAAAAAAGTTTGGACACCCCTGCTTTAGGTCAAAAGCGGTTTTAGACCAGCTAGAGAACAGCGATAGTAAATTAGAACTACTTGCAGAATTGAGTGATAATGATTCGTGGGGAAATTCGTCATCAGACACTGAAAACGATTTTGCGACTTTGCTCAGTGATGTGCGAACTTGGCATTCTATTTCAAATTTCAGTGTTTTTGGTTTGATTATATTATTGAATTCAATTTATTATTATTATATTATTCTTTTTTATGATTATTTATTAAATTATAATTTATGATTTAGTGTTTCAAATTTTAACATACCCAGGATGTTTACCAGACTCTTGTTTGGACAGATTTCAGTGAGTTATTCCTAAAAATTACAGGCCTACAATAAAAAAACTACATATTTCCATGCAAAAAAATTTACCGCTTTGAGCACATAAATCCTGACATAATCTCCTAGATTGTAAGCTCCAAGGAGCAGGGCCCTCCTGTCCCTCTTGTATTGAACTGTATTGTTGCTGTATTGTCTCACATTATATTGTAAAGGGCTGAGCAAGCTGTTGGCGCTATATAAATCCTGTATAATAATAATAACCAGACAAGGGAGGTTAAACAGTCTCCAATAAATTTTCTTGTAGATGATAATAGCAATGTGTTGCCCTCCTTTTCAGCTGGCATAAAATTGTATTATTCTCATAACAATTATATGCAGATGTCCAGAGCCCCCCAGATCAGATGTGCCTTCTACCATCAGAGGTCAGGAGTCCCCCACCCTGCCTTGCATCACAGTGCACACTCCTTACCTTGTGCTGCTGCCAGGAAGAAGCTGGGAACAGAGCTTGGAAGCAGAAAATGCAGGGTCTAGAGTAGGACCAGTGGAGGGCTGGAGTCTGCTGAATGCTGAAACCAGGGGAGGCAGAGACAATGGGGTGCTGCAGCTGCACAGAGAGACACAGGATCTGTAAGAGGAGTTCTGTCCTCCTCCCTGCTGCCAACTACTCAACTGCTGAGATGGGGGGGTGGCAAAGAAGAGCCTCTCTGAGGCTTCACAGAGAAGCACAGGATCTGGTGGAGGAGTTCTGTCCTCTCTTCTTCTACCGACTGCCGAGACAAGGTTATGGTGGAGATGAGGATGGTGCCACAGCTGCAAGAGAGGTGCAAGGCTCACATGAAATGGCCTGGCGGGCAGAATTTGGCCAACGGGCCTTGAGTTTGACACGTGGATTGGGCATAACTGAAATGAATGAATGAAGTAAAAGCAGGACTCTTGCACTGAAAGTCCTCAGGAACAGGTTATAAGGATACAGAACAGCAGTGACTAGTCATAGGAAATTGCTTCTTTTTCAGGAGAAATTCAAGGTAAAAGGTAGAATTTTCAGGGTGCTGCTTATGCACAAATAACATTTCTAGATGTTCCCTATAATATAGCCATTTTGCAGTTTTTCATTTCAGGACCGCTTTAAATTGCAACAATCCCAGGTTTGCTGGGACATTCCCGCAATCTAGGTGCTCTGTTCCGATGATGCTGTGGCACAAAATTACCCTTTTATGAGTTACCGAGCATGCACAGTATCTCAAAAAGGGTATTAACTGAGGGGATTGCAGCTGCGAGTGGGTGGTTTTCCCCTAATTAGGGATGTGACCACCCAGAAAGTGGGTGTGGTCTTGGTGGGACCACCTAGACATTGGGCATGATCAGGGCACGACCACCCAGAAAGAAGGCATGTTCTGGACAGGACCATCCAGAAGGTGGATCCGTTGAATGTTGGCCATGGCAAGGGGTGACAGTGTCCAAGAGACTGGGATATACAGTATATTTTGGCAAGTATGAAATTATAGACCCTTTTCACAAGAACTGACAATAAAAGATGAGATAATATATGTGAAGTAGTGTCGCTTTATTAGTTATCATAGTAAGGAAAATTATTAATAAACTGTGATGTGCTTGATTTGATGTTTGACTGGAATAATACTCTCCATATCCTGTACGCAAAGCAGTATTTCTAATTTGTAGTTTGCTGTGTCAGGTGGGGCTCATATCAGCCACTTTCCCCTACTGATGTGCTGTAATTAGTAATCATCCCTGCATATCACCTTAGCACACAGAACTCTGTGTCCTGCATTCCTTTCTCAGGCTAGGCCCTATTACATAATGCGTTTGCCAAATAGATAAGGATTGCTATTTCACTACCCTGTGTTAATAGGCAAATACCTGGAAGCCTGTTGACCTGTACCTGTCTCGCCTGGGAATCACCCACCAAGGAACAAATAATGATTCACGACATAGGGGTTAATAGGATCACGGACGCTAAGAACGTTCAAGGCCTGCCACTTCCAGGTGGGTTGTAAAACCGGAAAGCAATGCAAGGAGGAATTTCACTTCATGCAGAGCTAGTTCTCTGGAAGAATATGATGCTTTCTTAATGGACAAGAGCACTTTGAGTGCATCCCGTAAAATCAGGCCTCCTCCTGCCCTCTGCACAACTTTTAATGTGCAATCACATACCAGTAACTAACCCATTCACGCCTCAGGGTAAAACAAATCTAAATGCCTAAGCACAATTTTGCAACGTAGACGTGTTAGTAAAACCATCCATATCATCACAACTACTTTGTACATCCAGGTAGATTATACAGCGTTTTTTTTAAGGACAAATTGGGCTTTCATTTGGTGGTAAATGGTAATGGATATCTCCTGATTTTTTTTGTTATTGTCAAAGGAAAACTGGCTCAAAATAGTAAAAAAAAAAAAAATCATTATTTTTATTTAGCTGTGTGTTTCTTGTTACTACCATAACCTACCACAAAGAACAACCCAAATTCTCCAGCTCTTGACGATTGCAGCGATACCATATATGTGTATGTTATTTGTTGTTTGTATCCGTAATACAGCCCAGAAACAATAGTGTGCATATTGTTTTTGTCTTTTTTTTTTTTTTTTTTACCTAAAACACACACACTGACATTGACACCAACACTATTTTTTTTTAAATCCTGACCTTTGACACTGACCTTTGACCTTGACCTTTGACCCTGACCTTGACCCAAACAATAACCCTAGCACTGAACTAGATCAAACCTTAATCTAGGTATTTTTTCTTTTATTTTTTAATATTTATTTATCTTTTTTTTTTTTTAAAAAACATTTTTTTTCTCTCTATGTCAGGAGTTAGAGAGATTCAATGTATCTCTCTTCTTCATTCATAGAGAGAGAAAAACACAAGGGGCCGGGCTGCACAGTGACTGATCACTGTGATAGCCAATCAGAGGCTATCACAGCGATCATGTGACCCAGAATCTGGAGTCCCGGGTCCCGATCATTAGAACGGGACCCGGGGCTTTCAGTGACATTGCGGTCTTTGTGCTGGGAGCGCGCTGTGCGGCGCGCTCCCAGCACAAAGACAGGTATGCAAATATGCGGCCCCACGGAAAAAAGCCCAGTTCCATGAGGCCGCATATTTGTGTGGCATCGGCGTCAAGGGGTTAAAGTGGAAGTTCACCTGAGAATTACTCATTGAATGGTAACCAGCCGTATAAACATCTTATTGTATATGTACCTTGATTAATGCATGGCACCATGTTTGACATCTGTCCACACTCTGGCCATCCAGCAATCATTATTGCAAGCAGGCGGCCATTCACCAGCGATACTATGCAACGCATGGGGAGTTATTTACTAAAACTGGAAAGTGCAAAATCTGGTGCTACTCTGTATAGAAACCAAACAGCTTCCACGTTTTATTAAGAGGAACTACAATGCATCTGAGCATCACAAACCAAAAATTCTATTTAATTCATTTTTAATATTGAGAGCAAACTTGCACATCCATCCATGTCTACATGCTTTATTTTTGCTGGGAAAGCACTTAGAAAAAGACCCCTCGAGCATTTCTGGCAGTGACCAACTTGAGTAAGGGCAGATGATTGTTGTAGCATTTACTTCCTGGAATCCCTCTGTCCTTAGCTCAGACATTCAGGCAGGAGGGTGTGCTTGGCTAAAAAAAAACTCCTCCCCTCCTGAAGACTCCTGGGATGTTTGACATCATTTGCTTAGGCATGGAAACCAGGAAATAACCAAATAAATGTAAAAAAATTCAAAACAGTAAATATAATATACTTTCCTATCTATTTACTAATGCTTACAGCATAAGGATTTAAAATAGTCAGTTTTGACTGACAGAGTAAAGTTAAAGGTAAAGCTGAAGTTAGAAGCTGATTGGTTACCATACACAGTTGCACCAGATTCTGAGTGCTCCAGTTTTAGTAAATCTCCCCCATGGGGTTGCTTAGTTCCCCCATATGCTATTTATGTCTTTGACATCATTAGAGCACAAAGGCAGCATGTTCAGGCAGTTTCAGTTAGGCTTTGCAACTACAGGATGTAGACAGTATGAGGGGGACTGTGTGACACTGAGTTGCATGGTGTCGCTAATAAGTTGCAGGTTCGAGTGCTGATTGCTGGAAAACCAGAGCATTTATCAATGCACATGTGCCATATGGCTGTTTAGAATTCATTGAGCAATTCTAGGATGAACATCCACTATAGTAAAAGTGCTAGTTACCCAGGACAAGCATCCTCTTCTATATATCCCATACAATATAAAGACCCTTTGTTTTTAATGTCAGCTGGCAGTGATGGGGAAGAGGAATATAGTTGGCCAAGGCCAGAGTAAAAAATAGCACTACCATCAATCACTAGTGTGTCATTACAGATTGAAAATGGTACTGATGTATTTACACATGTATTTATCCTTGAAGGCAACTTTCTGGACAAAGGGCCAGTTTACTGTCCTTCTTATTTTAGGGGGGCCAG